TCTCTCTCCGTCTCTGTTTCTCTCTGTCTCTCTCTGTCTTTCTGTCTCTCTCTCTCTCTCCGTCTCTCTGTCTCAGAAGCCAGAGTCACTTAACAACCATGGTACTGATTTAACAGCTGCAGCGACTCACTTAACAATGGTGGCAAGAAAGGCTGTAAAACAATGGCCAAACTCACTGAACCAATGTCTTGCTTAGCCCCAGATATTTTGGGTTCTGTTGTGGTCATAAGTCGAGGACAACCTGTATTACAAAGTTAAATGAGTGAAATCAAGCTGATTAGTCCTACTTAAGTTGATTATTATTTTATTGATTTAAATAAATGATGAAATTAAAATTATTTGCTGAAACCAAGTCCTCCTCTTTTTTCCCTTAGGCCCCTGGAGAGAGCGAATACTCAGATCCCTTCGACGCTCACCGGGAACCGAAAGGAGACACCGAAGAGGACGCCGGATTGGAGAACAACGGTTACATGGAGCCCTACAATGCCCAGAGGGTGGTGGCTGGTGAGTGAAGGAAAATAAGACAGGGAATGCGATGACCCAGGACGAGGCATGTGTGATGACTTGGGGCGTGGCACAGAGGCAGCACAGTCAAATAAGCAATAAGAGTCCCTTTATTATCTCCAACTTTGCCCCCAGCATCCAGGTTACCTTCAGCTGGAGAAAAACTCTCCCAGGCCTTTAACTGTAGAAAATTCAGTCCAAAACAAGGTACCCACAAACTGTAACTTAACTGTAACCAAACAAACCAAAAGACCTGACAGGGCAGGAGCAGGAATTTCAGGCTTGAAAGCATGGCAAAACTCACACAGTTGGGAAGACGCCAGGAACACAGATAAGCCTCGACAATAACTGATAATTCACGATTTGCTTCTAACAGCTTTGCTGTGCGCAGCTTCCTCTTTTATACTCTGTGTTCCCAGTTGAAGCTAATGAAGGGAATCAGGGCCCTTTACTCCCCGTAAGCCATGCAACTCACGTTGCTCCCTTTTCCGTTCCTCCCTGCGCGCCCTAGGATGAAGCGGGGGCGGGCCTGGATTCCCTCTCCCTTGTTCTACCTCTTCCCTGCTCTGCCCGGCCAGACTGTGCCCTTCCACAGCCAACGGAGCCACACTCCCACTCCCTGTCAGCTGTCCGGCTTCCCTCTCCGAGTCAGATTCCGACAGGGGCATAACAGCACAAAGGTCACACAGCGGGCTAAGAGTTCAAACTCCCCTTTAATGCTCCCAATGTCCCCTCAAACGCTCCCACATTCTTTGACAGGTCCCAGAGCAAAGCCCACAAGTGGCGGCCTCTGGCTGCTCCCGGTCCAGCAAAATAAAGAAAGAGAAATGAGTCCAAAAAATAAGGAACAAACAAGGAGTCCATGAAGTGAGGAAGAAGGCAAGCAGTCCTGCAAACACACCAAACTTTACCAATTCAGCTGTGAATTCGTAAAACGTTCTATGCCTGTTTTAGAGTTGCCGTGGTGGGAGTGGGGGTTAGAAATCTGAAAGGGCAATGTGGCAGTTTAAAACCAAAAGTGCAGTCCATTCTTATCTTGCAAATATTATAACTAAGCTACCCAAGTTTCTGCCCGGGATGTGATTGATGACTCTCAGCTCAGTGTTTCGTTGGAGAATATGAACATTAAGAAATTAATATGAACATTAAGAAATACTAGATTGTTGACATTAGAAGGACATGATTTGTTGTTGGGGTGGCACGCTTTTTTATGGTACAAGGGAACTAAAATACAGGGGTATTTTAGAAGACATCATATACGGGAGTCTCTGTGGCTAAACTGGGAGAAGATTAAAAGACAATGTTATTTGAAAACTCCAGTCTGGCTATCGACTATTGAAGCATTTTCCTATCCTATAATATATAAGAAGAAACAAACAGTTAGATATGGGGAAATATTGAATGAAAAGGGTGAACTTAAATCCATGCAAAAATTAGAGGAACAAGGTATAAAGATAAATTGGTTTTCATATGCACAAGTACATTCAAGGTATGACAAAGATTTTAAAACAGAATGTTTCTATGATAAACTGACTGACTTAGATAAGATTTTGACAGGTACTGATGAAAAGGTGATTAAAAAATTGTATGGATATTTATTAGAAATTAAACTAGAAGAAGAACAAGTTAAAGAAACTATGATTGCTTGGGGGAAGAATTTTGGATATGGGATCGATTTAGAGAAATGGCAAAAATTGTGGTCTCAAAATTATAAAATGACAATGTCAACAGCATATAAAGAAAATTTGTATAAGATGTTTTACAGGTGGTATTTCCTCCCGACAAGAATAGCAAGATTCATATACGCCCTTTTCCAACAAATCCAACACAATCCAAAAGGAACAGAAACCTTTTAAATGCTTCTGCAAAATAATTAGCTGTGATAAGCACAAGCCTTGCCAAACTGTGCGAGACCGGCCAAAAGATAAGAGACAAGAAATACTTTGCAATACAAGAATCTTTACGTACAAACTCAGGATACTGGAATGTCCACAAGGCTGGAGTTTCGAAACGTCTTTGCCTTCTGCAAAGAACATTCGTGTCAGTGATGGAATTCATCGCTGCCACATAGTTGAAGCAAGTGGGAGGGGTTGATGTGAACTGAGTAGCTCTTAGTAGACAAAATATATTATTTTGATAGTTCAAGGTTACAGAGTGTGGCGCAGAAAGAATTAGAATTTACTTTGGGATTGGTGTATGTGATCTGGTGATGAAGAAAAAAGGGGATGGGTTGTAACTTGGGATTTTGTGGGGAAGCCGGGAAGATTTAGTTCCGGATTTCCCCAGAATGTGCCAGGTACTGTTCTAATAAAAATACTTTGAGATGCCGTGAGTCTTGGAGTTACCGGAAGGAATGGATTTTTCCCTGGAACGCCGACCATTTGTTTCACACCTGGCTTTTATCTGCTTGAAGGAGGGGCCATTACCTTGCAGCCTTACTCCCGAGTCGCCCGTTCTGGTTGTAGCTGCTCTTTCCTGTGAGCAGCACGCTTGGCACAGGCTCCTCGGGAACCTCCTCATCGCTGCTGCCAGCTCCCACAATCTCTGAAGGCAGCAGTTCACGCCCTAATGGTCCCGGCCCCTCATCTGAGTCCTCGCTCTCCTCAGCCGTCCGCACCTGTTGCCGGCTAACCACAACAACACGTCACGCCGACATGTTCGCTCCTAATAAATCCTTTTGACGTTTTTGAAGCTTGCTCGCTCGAGGCTCGTGATTTAATTAGGGCAACTGCCGGAATCCTGACACCAGCATTTGTTCCCGACAAACGCCACTCCCCACAGCGTCTCCTTAAAGCTCAGTCCCCACATGTGCCTTGTAAAAGAGCTCTCCCCCCCCGAGTGGTCGGGTCAGCCTGTGCTGTTCCTGACTTCTCTCCACTCTCCATGCTTGGGGATCAGGAGGGTGCGATCAATCGCTCCTCGTGTCCGCTCTTTGCCCTCTCTCGGTCATCCTGCCCCCCGTTCTTCCCGGCTAACAAGCCATGCCAATCCTGAGGGGCCCTGGGCTGCCTTGGCCTGCTCCTCCCTACATTCCTCCAAAGCCAACGAAGCCGCCCTCTCGATCTCCCTCAGCTTCAGCTCCGGTTCATTGTCCTCCACAGATTCGGGGGCATGACGGGATGAAAAAGTCAAGCACAAGGAGAAAAATAATAAAATAAAAAAGAGAGTAAACTTTCTCCTTTCTCCAAACAAATAAAAGACAATTTGACAGGTATTCCTTGACTTACAACAGTAATGGAGTCTCCCCGTCATGGTTCTAAATCGGGACCGTTGCCAAATGGGTTGGTCATCGATTTTACGACCTTTTTTTTGCAGAGGTTGTTAAGCGAATCACCACAGTCACTAAGTGAATCGCACAGTCATTTTCTCTCCCCCCCCATTAAGTTTGCTTGGCAGAAACTAGATGGGAAGGTCACCAATGGTGATGGTGAGAGACCCCAGGACAGCACAACCGTCGTAAATTCATGCTGGTTGCCAAGCGCCCGAATTTTGGTCCCATGACCAAAAATTGGAGATGCTGCAATGGTCGCTAAGTGTGAAAAATGGCTCTAAGTCACTTTTTCTGGTGCTGTTGTAACTTCGGATGGTCACTGAACAAATGGCCGTAAGTCGAGGACTGCCCGTACGATTAGATCATTTGAACAGTCCCTAAATAAACGGCCGCAAGTCCAGGACAACCTGTATGATGGGATCCTTTAGAACAGTCATTAAATGAATGGTTTTAAGTCAAGGACTCCCTGTATGATAGGATCCTTCAAACCGTTGGTAAATGAATGGTCATAAATCGAGGATTCCCTACATGATGGGATATTTTCAACGGTCGCTAAATGAATGGTCATAAAGCGAGGACTCCCTTATGATGGGATCTTTCAAACGGTCGCTAAACGAATGGTCATACATTAAGGGCTCCCTGTAGGGCGGGATGTTTCCAACGGTCGTTAGATGAACGATCGTAAATTGAGGACTCCCTGAACGATGGGATCCTCTCAACAGTCACTAACGAACGGTCATAAATCAAGGACTCCCTGTAAGGAAGGGAACCTCTGAGCAGTCGCTAAACAAACGGTTGTAAGTTGGGGACCACCACCACCCCGTACAAGGGGATCCTTCGAACGGTCGCCGAATGAGTTGTTGTAAGCTGTACGATTAGATCCTTCAAACGGTCTGTCAAGGCTCCGACATGCACCCTTATTCAAATTACAAGTCTCTAGCCGCATCTGTCAGAGTGAAAAAGATGGATTTATTAGGAGTCGACATGTCGGTGGTTCCTGGTTGTAGCCGACTCTGACACATCATTCATTTCCCCCTTGACCCCGGATGTCTTTTTTTTTTAATTTGTCAATTGCTTACAAGATAATAGGTATATGTATATACATAGTTATAAATACATGAAATGGGTACATATAAGAAAAATAAAAAGAAACAATAGGACAGGGACGGTAGGCACGTTGGTGCGCTTATGCACGCCCCCTACAGACCTCTTAGGAAAGGGGTGAGGTCAGTAGTAGACAGTCTAAGGTTAAAGTTTTTGGGGTTTGGGGAAGAAACCACAGAGTCAGGTAGAGTATTCCAGACATTGACCGCTCTGTTGCTGAAGTTGTATTTCCCGCAATCAAGTTTGGTGAGATTAACCTTGAGTTTGTATCTATTGTTTGCTCTTGTGTTGTTATGGTTGAAGCTGAAGTATTCATTGACAGGTAGGACATTGCAATGTATGATTTTATATACTATACTTAGATCGGACAGAAGGCGGCGTAGTTCTAGGTTTTCTAGGTCTAGAATTTCAAGTCTGGTGGCATAAAGTATTCTACAACGAGTAGAGGAGTGGAGAACTCTTCTTGTGAAATATTTCTGGACTTTCTCAACTGTGTTAATATCAAATACATAATGCGGGTTCCAGACTGATGAGCTGTATTCAAGTATTGGTCTAGCAAATGTTTTGTATGCTCTAGTTATTACTGTAATATTACCAGAGAAAAAGCTACGTAAGGTTAGGTTAACAACTCTTAATGCCTTTTTGGCTATGTAGTTACAGTGGGCTCTAGCACTTAGGTCGTTTGGGATGAGTTCTCCAAGATCCTTGACAGAGTTTGGATCATCAACAAGGTCTTGACTATTCAGCCTGTATTTTATTTTCTGATATTTTTTTTTTGCCAATATGTAAGACAGAGCATTTATTTGTTGAGATTTGGAGTTGCCATTTGTTTGACCATTCTGATACATAGTCAAGGTATAATTTATATGGTAAATAGTCATTCCTCTGGCTTTCATGCCTAAGGTGAGACTAGAACTCACAGTCACCTGGTGATTGGCCCAAAGTCACCCAGCCTAATTTCATGTCTAAGGTAGGACTAGAACTCACTGTCTCCTGGTGATTGGCCCAAAGTCATTAATCTGGCTTTCATGTCTAAGGCAGGACTAGAACTCACCGTCTCCTGGTGATTGGCCCAAAGCCACCCAGCTGGCTCTCATGCTTAACATGGAAACTAGAACTCACCGTCTCCTGGTAATTGGCCCAAAGTCATCCACCCAGCTTTCCTGCCTACGACAGGACTAGAACTCCCAATCCCCAGGTGACTGGCCCAAAGTCACCCAGTTGGCTTCCATGCCTAACATGGAAACTGGAACTCACCATTTCTCAGTTCCGAGACCAGCACCTTAACCACAGACCAAACTAGTCCTCACATCTTATGGGAAAATATCAATAACTTAAAACAACTATAGCACAGCCACTGAATCCAGCACAGCCTAAATTCGCTTGACAAATGCAGGGATGTTTGTTTGTTTGTTTGATATCTATCTGTCAGAATTACAGCAGTTACCCCAATTAAATCATGAGTCTCGAGACAAACTTCCAAAACTTCCAAAGGATTTATTGGGAGTTAACATATCCGGCACTGCCTGGGTGTAGCCGACTCTGTGGGACATAATTCCTTCACCCTTGATCCTGGTTTTCCCCCATCCCCTGAGTAAATCATAATTCATATTCTCCAATGGGACACATCCATAGCCTACAGTCATCAATCATGCTCTCCAGTAATAACCTTGCGTGCCAACAGCTTCAGCTGCCAAGGGGATTATCTGAGGCATTTAAGGAATGCACTGCTTTTGTCGGGCTCTGAGTTCACTCACCCTTACAGACTTCCGTGACTTTGGATGTACAACCAGTTGCACAGGGGTTTCTGTTTCCAAACTAGCTCCCTCAACCACATCCCCCTGTTCCTCTGTCACCTCAGTGGGCAGAACATGGTCTATTTCTCCTGCCATATTGCTCTCCCACCAACAAGTTTATAGAACAAAATATATAATAGGTTTGTGAACTCTAACCTTCTCTCAGCCAGTCCTTGCATAGTGAAGATTTGTCCTGAAATGAATACAAACTCCAGCTCCTTTGCAGTGCAATGGTGGTTTATTCATTAGCTCAGCTTCCCCATGTTTTAACCTAAGGCTTAATTACCACCTATATGTGCCCCAACCCTCTTTAACAATATGCACCACATCAATACACGAAAAGAGCCATTTCCAGCATCCCCGCAGTTGTTGCAGAATCCATCCTCCATCCCCGCAGTTGCCGTAGAATCCATCCTCCATCCCCACAGTTGCTGCAGAATCCATCCTCCATCCC